AAATTTATTTTCCTCATGATGATAATAACAATATTTTTTTTATGTTTTGTAAACAAAATCAAACTCTAAATGATATTTAATCGTTAAAAATCTTTGAAAAGTTGATAACTCAACATTTTAGTCATAAAGCTATTAATTTATGTTGTATGCCTTATAAACTGTGGAAAAATATGTTAATTGCTTTCATTTGCAACAAAATTGTCACCATTAGCTTTTCACATAAAAATTTAAAAAAAATTCAATATCTTCTAAATTTAACAAAAAGCAATATTTTTAGTTAGCTAAGTCTTAAATTTAATTAATAAAACTAAAATTTCATTTTTCTTAACAGCTTTTCTAATAAAATATATAAAATATTTTTTTGTTCAAACATGGTGGCAATTTTGGCACATACTGTGTATATATATGTATATATATATATATATATATATATATATATATATATATATATATATATATATATATATATATATATATATATATATATATATATATATATATATATATATATATATATATATATATATATATATATATATATATATATATATATATATATATATATATACAGGGTGTAAACTAGCCCTGTGGCGCCCGGTCAAACGCGGTATTCCCAAGTGCTCATAAAATTGAAATTCCCAATTTAATGGTGAAAAAATCTTATACTCGAAATAAATTTTGCCAAATTAAAGTTTAAAAATAGTTCTGAAAATTATTGAAAATTAAATATTGTTAAAAACTAATAGAAAAACTAAAAAAATTCTAATTTAATAATTGCATAAAACTTGAAATAAAATGGTATATTTACGCGATTGAGCTCCAAAAATGTCTCTTCGACAAAACTTCTTGAGAATTGGGATTTTCCAAGCGATTTTAGGGATTTTCCCTGCAATTTGCTTGTAAAATTAATTTCTCATATTTTGCAATTAATTTTTTGCAATGCATTCCAACATCAGTAAATATATTAAAAAGTCAGTAAGAAAAAAAGCACTATTCTACAAAAATTTAAAACAATAATAAATTTGATCGGTTTAGAACCCGGAAATGCTATTTCTTTAAAAGTTTCAAAATTTTTGGCTGAAAAGTTAAATAACTTATTAAGTCTTACTGCAAACTCAACTTCAAGTAGTACATGTGCTTCGTCAACAAAAATATTGAGAAGCCTTTTATGTCACATACTTTCGACATTTTGATCAATTTACTGATATTACGGAAAGAAGTCGTCCATAAATTACGCAACGCAAAAAAATTTAAAAAAACCTAAGTCGCAGATTTTAACCTCTTTCACGTTGCAATTTTCATTAAACTGAATCGGCTATTATGATTTTATATTTAAATTAAGATCCTCCAAGGGAAAACATTTTTTTGTTTTGTTTATTGTGAAAGTTTTCATTATTTAATTAATGGACAATTCCTAAGCCTTTTAGTTATAGTTTTCCATTTTTTTGTTTGGTATTTTATATCAACTGAATTATTTGATCACATCGATTAAAATCTTTCTACACTTATCTACTAATTAATTCACTAATTAATTCAATAACTTTTTTAAAAAACCATTTCTGAAATGTAAGTTACCTACAAAAAATGTTTAATGATTAAAAAAAGTGGAACTACAAATTTATTGAACAAGCAAAATAGATTTCTTTATTTAACAGCTTGCTTATATTTAACATGCAAATACGTATATTAAAACGTAATTTAAATACGTTTAATAACAAGAAAGTTTATTTTTATTACAACAAGCTGGTACTAGAAATTTAAATAGCAGAAAACAAGATTCACCGATTGCTTGAATTTGAAATGTTACATTTTAAATAAACATAGTTATAACATTTCATAACTAAGAATGAAAAAATAACTATTGGTATTCTTTATTGCCACGTAATCGCTTGCGATCAATATACTTCTATAATAAAAAGACATTTGTTGTTGTTTTTGCTGAGACTGTAATTATAACTTTATTTCTTTATGCGATTTATGAATAAAGACGTGACAAATCGTTTTTTAATAAGCGTTGGCGTTCGTTTCTTTATATATTGGTTTAGAGGAATTTTTGAGGTATGTCAAATAACAGGGCCAACAACATGAGGGAAGGGGAAGTAGGGGGATGTGCCCAAAGGATGGTTGTGCCCCCTTCTTTCATTTTTTTTTAAAGACCCTTTACTTGGGTTGTTTTTTTAAGAGAACTTCTAGAGGACTTTTTTTTTAGAAATAGATGGTTGTGCACCCCCACTTCAAATCCCGTGCCGTCGGCCATGAATAAACCAATTTAATTTTAATTCATTCAATTTTTTTTTTATTTAAATAATTTTTTATTAAATTATAAGGGAGTTTTATTTTCAAATAACTTTTATTCTAGTTAATAAAAAATAATAATTAGATATATCAAAGATGTTTATTGAATTTTATGAATTTTTTATTAATTCAAAACAATTTTTCATGCATTTGCAAAGTGCGCGCAAATTAATGATAACTGATTAATTTAAAACTTTTAAAATTAAAATTAATTCAAAACTTTAAAAAAGTAGTTAATTATTAAATTTAAAAATTTTTGCTTTTGAAGAAAGTATTACGCTATTAAAGAAAGTATTAGCATAGTTTCTTTTAAAGTCATTGAAAATGTGTTTTAAATTTTAGTAACTTAATTTTTTTTTTACCATAAGTATGTTTTTTTAATAATAACTAAAAAAACTATCAATTGCATAATTATTTGGAAAAAAATTACTGAAGTTATGCGTTCGTTTTTTAAAATTTTAAGCGAATGCCAATGTTTGCTTAAGTAAAAGTAAGGAAACGTGATGTTGATTTTTCTGTTATTTTTTTTAACAATTGTTTGCACATTTATTGATTTGTCGCGCCCTAATATATATATATATATATATATATATATATATATATATATATATATATATATATATATATATATATATATATATATATATATATATATATATATATATATATATTTATTTATTTATATAATTATTATTGAATGTAGGCATCATGTATGAGAGTATGTAAATTATTATTTTAAAAACATCAATAAATAAGAATAGTAAATTTTTTTTTTTTTTTATTTTTTTGCTGGATTGTTGTGACGAGCGTCTTCAGCTTAAAAGTTTTTTTTTTTGTTTTTGTGTATTTTTTATGTTTAAAATAGAAGTTCTATTTTATGTCAATGGAATGGTTTCATGTTTTTCTGATGTAAGTGCGCCAAAAATGGTGTCTAAAATTTTTTTGACACATTGTCCCTCATCTAAATTGATACTATTTTGTTGAGGGGCACATTGGTGGTATTGTATTTCAAGTGCCTCACGAACTTTCCTATCAAACTTTTTAGCATCGACTTTTAAAGTTCTGCAACTGTCCCAGTTAATTTGTTGTGCACAATATCTCTTGTTTTTGGCTAATGCAGATCATTCTGTTTTATTTCCTATTGTACTGTTTTGTGTTGTTACATGTGTGTTTTTATTTGCATTTTTGTTTCATCTATATACTTTTTGCTACAATGATATTTAATAAGGTAGACAACTGGGTGGCTGTTTGTTTGTAGTTTGGATTTATTTCTTGATGTTAATATTGTCTCTAGGTTCAAGTTTGATTTGAAGACCATTTTATATCCTGCTTTCCTAAACACCTTATATAATTTGGGAGACAATATCTGTACCCAAGGTAATGAAATCGTTGGATACGTACTGGTGATGTTTTTAATTTTTTAGCCAACATTGATTTTTTGTTTTTTTGTTTTATTTCTTTTATGAAATTTATGAGATTGGACTGTTTGTAGCCATTTTCGACAAATACTTGAATAAGAAATTTCAGTTCATTTTCTATATGTTTATGACTGCATACATTAAATGCTCTATGTAGGAAACCCCTTGAATATTCTTTTTAAAATTTGTGGTTCATGGTTTGATGTTGCCTTAACCTGAATGTTAGTAATTGCATTTTTTCTGTGTATTTTAAATTCTTATTTACATTTAAATTCATTTTTTCTGTGTATTTTAAATTCATATTTACATTTAAATTCATTTTTTCTGTGTATTTTAAATTCATTTTTACATTTAAATTCATTTTTTCTGTGTATTTTAAATTCATATTTACCATTTTTGTTATTTATTATGCATATTTATATTATATTATATTATGAAAATTTAGTGTTTTTTTTGTCATTTTCAAATTTGATAGTATGTTGTATTTTTGGATGCTGTTAATTAAATGTTGCCTTAAATTGATCTGCCTGGGTAATGTTAGGGACTTAAGCATGACTGTCATCTAGGTATCGACTGTCACCTACTATATTATATATATATATATATATATATATATATATATATATATATATATATATATATATATATATATATATATATATATATATATATATATATATATATATATATATATATATATATATATAAAGCATTATTGGTAGGTTTATTGTATCAGATTATTTTATTTATTAATTTATTTTAAATTATGCCTTAGCAACATTTGTTAGATCCTAATAAAATGATGTTTACTAAATTTTAACAATGTCAACTACTAACTGAGATATTTATCAACCCAAAAAAATTTAACAGATTTTACTAAAATGTTAAGCCTAATATTCTTATATAAGTATTGAAATTGTGATTTTCCCATATTTAAAAAATTTACCTGCAGAAGTGAAGATAAATTTAGACTTTATTATCACCTAGCAACACATTTCCACCTAATACAAATCCTAATAAAGCATGTGTTTATTAAGTTTTGTTTATTAATTAAATTTTATACCAGCAAATTTAATTATAGAATCAGCTGGTCATTTTTTCAAAATGTATAAAGTAAATACATTATAATAAAATAAAAAAAACAATAATAATAATGATGTGAAGATGTTATAATTTTTGTAGTTATAACGTTATTTTTAGACTTATGACTATTTTATTATAATCTTATAATTAGAAAATATAATAATAGAATAAAAAACTTTTTATGTTATCAATTTTTATTTTCAGGTAGGAAGATATGGATTACCTTATCATGCAACATGCATTGCTTTGGATCATGTTCAAAAACTATTAGCTATTGGTACAGCTACAGGTGCAATAAGAATGTATCTTTTCGCTATACTGCCTTAATCTAGCAAACAATAAAGTATTGAAAAAACAAAATGTCCCTTCATAGTTTATGGTCTGAAAGTTTTTTCTGAAATATTATCTAGTAAAATAAAAACAGTATAGAGTAGAGAAAATATTTTTAGTTTTAGTTTCAATATGTTCTATATGCAATATATTGCCATATAATATGTTCTATATGCAATATATTGCAATATAATATGTTCTATATGCAATATATTGCAATATAATAGATTAAGTATTTATTAGTTATTGCAAATTTCTTTAACAACTATAATCATAACCTTTGTTTATGAGTTATGATTTTTGAAAGCTTGTTTTAGCTTGTTAAATTTTCAAATTCCAAATATAAGAAAAATCTTTTCATCGTTTTCGAGTTTTTATAACTTTGTTAACTTATTATTTTATAATCGTTTTATTATTTTTATTTTTATTTGTTATCACATCTTATTTTATTTGTTATCACATCTTATTTTATTTGTTATCACATCTTATTTTATTTGTTATCACATCTTATTTTATTTGTTATCACATCTTATTTTATTTGTTATCACATCTTATTTTATTTGTTATCACATCTTATTTTATTTGTTATCACATCTTATTTTATTTGTTATCACATCTTATTTTATTTGTTATCACATCTTGTTTTATTTGTTATCACATCTTATTTTATTTGTTATCACATCTTATTTTATTTGTTATCACATCTTATTTTATTTGTTATCACATCTTATTTTATTTGTTATCACATCTTATTTTATTTGTTATCACATCTTATTTTATTTGTTATCACATCTTATTTTATTTGTTATCACATCTTATTTTATTTGTTATCACATCTTATTTTTATTTGTATCAGTGTTGAAAAAATGGAGCAATCTGAGCATATTGGTTTTTTGCACTTAAAACATCAAATTTAATACAACAAATTTTTTAAATTTGAAAATCACTTTTTTAATAACCTAACTTCAATCAGTGGGAAAAAAAACCAATTTTAAAAACTTTTTTTAAAATTGGTTGATAAAAGATCTTACTGAGATTTTTATCAAGCTAAAAAAATTGACAGATGCTACCGATATTTTTTCATCAACAAAAAAGATATCATTGTTGTCTACGTAAAATTAAACCTCAAGTTTCACTCACAAATGTTAAGCATAATATTCTTAAGTTTCACTCACAAATATTCTAATATGAGTATTGAAATAGTTTTTCCCAAAATTTTAAAAGTTTGCATGTAGAAGATAAATTTAGAGTTGATTATCATTAGTAAGCAACACTGATCAATCTACCTAAAACAAATTGAGTCTTTAAGGTTTTATTTTTTTTGTTAGTATTTTTTCTCAAAGGTTAAGTGAGTCACTACAATCATGGTCATCTCAAGGTCTAAATTTTTTTTTAAATTCTTATCCTTGTTTTTAATCTTTAAACTTTTATAAATTAATTTGTTGCAATTTGAGCCCAGTACTAGCAGGGACATGGTGAGGATTGAACATGGTAATCCTTGCTTACAAAGCAAGTGCTCTAACATTACATTGCTACAATGATAAGTTGATCATTATCGAAGGACAATATTGCTTTACTCTTGTAGGTTTTATGGCTATAGGAGGTGTAAAATGAACCACTAAGTACTACAGATCTGTACACATGCCATTATTATTGCTAGTCTGCAGCTATAAAGGGTATGCAATGCCTGCATTCATTAAATTATTTCCTTTTGTAATAACTTTCTTCTGTAATACTTCTAAGGAAATATATTTATTATGGAACTTTAGTGTTATAAATTGTGTTGATTTTTTTTACTAAAGTATTTTCATTTTTGAAAAAGTTAATTTTATTTGTCTGTTGAATTACATTTTATTTAAAATGTATAATTATTCTTGCATTTTAGAAATTTTTTTTTTCTCCAAATTTATTTTGTTTTCAAGTTCTCAGTAATCAATTTTTGCTGTGATTTTGTTTTATAGATGTAAAACTTATAATTAAGATGCATTCTGTGTATATAATTGCATAAAATTGTTGAAATTTATTAATTTCATTGTAACATTATTTTATCTTTATTGTAACTTGCACTCATTGACATCTTTTACATTCAATCATTTAAGATTAGTCCCCAGCGTAGTCTCTAGATAGCATTTTGATTGTAACTGCATAACTTTAAAGTAACTCAGAGTGTGACCACAAAATGGATAAAGCTACTGAAGCATCTAAAGTATAAGTTCAGAACAATTTGATAGAAAATGATAGAAATTTTAGATTTATATTTATTCAATAGATGTTAGGAGATTTTATCAATACATTTTGTTTATTTATATAGAAATTATTTTTTGTCTTATTCATATTCGGATGATTTTAAAAATTTCAAATTTTTTTAAAACTGCAGGTAAATTGTTTAAAAATTTTGTGATCTGCTATGTGATAAATTTTAGATCAAATCCAATTTTTTTAAAAAATAGACATGAAGAATTTATAAATAACAGTGATTATTAGACTTTTTTTTTTAATTAAAGTCAAGTGTAACTACTACTCCATTAGCTATTTAAGGTTATTAGAACTTAAGTGGTTGTCAGTAATAAGTGGTTGTCAGTACTTAAGTAATTAGGGTGTTTCCGTCAAATCAGTAAAAAAAATAAAAAAACAAATGTCACTCTATGTTTTCGGTTTTGCTAGTTTTTATATGTTAAAGGATGAAAATTATGTAAATCTGGCTTAACAGTTCTTGATATGACTTGATTTTTGATTGTTTTACAGTTCTTGAAATATTCATGTTTCAATTTTGCTAGTTTATGCTGACTCATAGAAGTGAGGTATTAACCTAAATTCAGTATAAAAAAAATTGAAAATTAGAAATCCACGTGCCAGATTTCAATATCAAGAGCACCATGTAAAGTTGAATTTAGGTATGTAGTATATAGATATAAATAAAGGGTATTTTGGCTGTCAAAATAGTGATATTCAAGTACTATTTTCTTGGCTCATTTACAACTTAAAATGTCAGTATAAACACCACTTATATTTTTGATTTTTACTTAATTGTTACAACCCTATCTCAACCTTTTATCTCCAAAATACCAGCCTTGATAAACAAGGCTGCTGTGTAGGGAAATAAGTAAAGCACAGTACTACCGGAGTCTAGATAAGGACCAAACTCAGATCTTCAAAACAAACTAAACTTCTTAACTTTTTAAATGACTTTTTGTAACAAAGCGAGTGCTTTGCCACTTCACTATATTATAAAAGTTGAGAAAGGACGTGAGATTAATAGAACTTAACAACAGACTTTTTGCATTGATTTCTTCTAATGGTAAAAAGGAGATTGTTCTCTAGAGAGTTGTTCTTTTAAAAAAAAATATTCAAGAGAAAAAAAATTCGAATGGAAAAAAGAAGTAGAAACAGCAGCTGCACAAGATAGAGAAAACCATGGGAGTGAGGCTTCATTGTGTAGAGTCTTGACTTAAAACCAATATGAATGTAAAGCTTCCATGCCTCCCTTGATTCGGGCCGACAACAATGGGGGTGGGGGGCCCCACACACACTTTTTTTCTAAAGGATTTTTTTTTTAAATTTAAAAAAGAAAATTCTAGATACAGAGAACTTTTTTTTAGAAATGTGCCCAATTTGCCCCCCTACCTGATATTTTTTCACAACAGGGTCCAAATCATCTGAAGGAGAACAAATAAAAACTAAACAGAAACAATGATCAAAAATTAGGCACAAATCATGGGATGAAGGGATGATAATAACTAGGTTTATCTGGAAAATGGTTTATCTGATCTTCAATGCTAATAAGGCCATTGCTACAAAAGCCGATTTGTTCAGCGTGATATACAAGTCACTAACTACAAAAATATTGGTTGATGAAAAGAGAAAAAAAGAGCTTGGTCAATTTGATCCAAAACAACATTGAAAAGAGTGCACTCTTAGGAATTAAGAGAGTGACAAAAAGCAAAATGTTCTCATGATAAATAGGTGATATGATATATAAGTATATGCCAAAGCCAACATGTGACTATTGGAGTCTTTGTAAATCAAAGGATAATAGCCATCAACAACTAATTTAACACTTCAAACTTTAGATAGTATTTATCACTCTCAATTTTAGATAGTATTTATCACTCTAAACTTTAGTATTTATCACTCTAAACTTTAGATAGTATTTATCACTCTAAACTTTAAATAGTATTTATCACTCTAAACTTTAGATAGTATTTATCACTCTAAACTTTAGATAGTATTTATCACTCTAAACTTTAGATAGTATTTATCACTCTTAACTTTAGATAGTATTTATCACTCTTAACTTTAGATAGTATTTATCACTCTTAACTTTAGATAGTATTTATCACTCTTAACTTTAGATAGTATTTATCACTCTTAACTTTAGATAGTATTTAACACTCTAAACTTTAGATAGTATTTATCACTCTAAACTTTAGATAGTATTTATCACTCTTAACTTTAGATAGTATTTAACACTCTAAGCTGTGTGTTTACCTTATTTTCACAAATCAACCTAAAGTAATAAAATCCTTTTTCCTGACATTTTGAAATTATCTTGTGTCATTCCAGTATATAAAAATGGCTCAAAACTCTCATGTACTAACTATAGACCAATTTCAATTCTATTTAACCTTAGCAAGCTCCTTGAAAAAATAATGTATTCTAGATTATACTCATTTTTGAGTTCCTTTAACTGTTTAAATGATTTTCAGTTTAAGTTTCGATCAAAACACTCTACTTGCCACACTTTAAAAGTATAACCGAAAAAATAAAAAAGGCACTGGATACTGGTCATTTTGTTGGTGGTGTTTTTATTGGCTTACAAAAAGTGTGCGATAGGTTTAGCGGAATAGTGTCACAAATTTTGATTGTCACAAATTTGATTGTTGAAAATGTGAAAAAGGAATATTGTTGCATGATTGATTGTCAAATAACAGAATAAGGAGTAATGTCGCAAATGAATTTAATGAATAGTGTCGATAATAGAAAAAGGAATAATGTCACAAAGGAGTTTAATAAATAGTGTTGAAAACAAAAAAACAGAATAGTGTCGCAAATAAGTCTAAGCAATAATGTCGAAAACAAAAAAACAGAATAGTGTCGCAAATGAGTTTAAGGAAGTGTCAAAAACAAAAAAACGAATTAGCGTCGCAAATGAATTTAAGGTTATATCTTTGATTTTCAAATAGTTTGACTTTTTTTTTTGTTTTAAGGTATTAAATAACTTTTGAGGACTTTTAAAGACTTTTTGTTATGAATGGTTATTCTAGACTTTAGTTTGTTTTATAAAAGTTACATTTTGGGAAGTTTTTATCATAAACTTCAAATAAATGTTCTTTAAGTAATAAAATATTTGTTGTCAGTATTAAACTGTCAGTTATTAAGAGGTTGTTATTTCTTAAGTGGTTGTCAGTGCTTAATTAGTTGTTAATACTTAAGTATTATTTATTGTACAAGTGTGCTGTTTTACTTTATTTAATTATAGCAGGAATTGGTTACTTTTACTGATTTACAGATTTTTTTTGTTGGATATCAAGTTTATATTATTATTACTATTATTATTAATATTATTATTATTATTATTATTATTGTTATTATTATTATTATTATTATTATTATTATTTTTATTAATGATAATAATAGCAATATTAGTGAAACAATAAAAAGAATAATCATATATTATAATCATACATTAACAACCATAAATTGTAAAAATAGTATTGCAATAATAATAATAATAATAATAATAATAATAATAATAATAATAATAATAATAATAATAATAATAATAGCAAAAATAATAATAATAATGATAAAAACAATAGCAAAATTCAAAAAGTTTATTATATGTTTCTTTCCTTAACAATATAATAAAAAAGTTGCGGTAAACCAGGTGTGGAATGTCATATAAACCATGAGACAAATGCAGCTGTTACTATGCTGTTATTTCTTATAAATGAGGTATATATAGCATAAATAGCATAAATAGGTATATATACACCAAGGCAATCTTGGAATTTATTTTGTTCATTAAATCACTTGTGGTCATTATATGAATTACTGCAGGTGTTTTTTTTATAAAAGTTTTGAAAGAGGAAATCTTCCGAAAAATTTGATTCTTGTTATATTTCCACCTATTCTTGTCCCCCTAATTAATTGTTGATATTTTTTCAAAGGGTTTTTATTGTAAAGATTAATCTCTCATCTCCATGAATTTTTGCAAGAAATAATTTTTTGACACCACAATAAATATTCAACAATATGATTGGTATGTGGGACCATTTTGTGTCACACTGTAACCACTATGAATCAGCATGACTATTTAGCACCAGTGGAAAAAAAAAAAAAATTATAAACAATTTTATTATTTATAAATCAAGAGTTCATAAAATTTTATATTTTAAATATTAAACAATTTTTTTTACTGCTATTTACATTTTTTTTTTCAAATCTTCACTTCCAATAAGGCTGCAAACAACCAATTCTAAAGTTGGAAGTTACAAGTAGAAAAAAGATGATGTTTATAAAGCAAGATTACGAATAATAGATATAGTAGATTTAAAAGAATGCAAATTATATGAATCAGGAAAACAAGATAAAGAAAGCGATTTCCAAATAACTGATGTTTTAGGGAAAAGATTAGAGGAAAAAGAATTTTTAAAGAACATTTATGAAGATTCGCTCCAGATATGACAACATTATTCCATACATGGACGAATTCCATACATGGACAATGGACAAATACATGGAGATTTTAAGAAAAGATGCAACCTAATCTTGCAGAAGTGTTCTTGTTGTGTTCTCAGGATCTTTTGCCTATACTTTCAAAACTAAGTGCTAATCAGAGTCTTATTTTCCAGCTTGCTGAAAAGCAGCATCTGTTATCCCTATTTTCAAAAATTATGGAGAGCGATCTGACTCGTCTAACTACTGTCCCATTAGTCTTCATCCTATCATAAGCAAGGTTTTTGAGTTTTTAATTAAAAAACGCTTAATTTCTCATCTTGAATCTAATAGTTTACTTTCTGATCATCAATATGGATTTTTATTTTCTCCTTCTACTGCTGATTTGTTAATAGTAATAACTAAAAAGTTTTATCGTGCATTAGATAGATGTGGAGAATTTAAGGCTTATGCTCCTGACATTTCTAAAGCTTTGATAAAGTTTAGCATGCTGGTCTTCTCTCTTTTTATGGTGTATTAAGTAAAATCCTTAAAATTAGTGAATCCTTTTTTACACATCGTAGTATAAAAGTTGTCCTTGATAGACACCACTCTTCTTCATTTCCTGTAACTTCAGGAATTAGTCGAGGTTCTATCCTTAGCCCTATACTTTTTTAAATTTACATTAACTATCTCTCAAAACTTCTCACATCTAAGGTGGCATTGCTCGCTGATGATACTACCATTTATTTTTTGATAAGAAGCCAACACTCTCTGATTAATTAAAAAGGGTATTTGAGCTTGAAAAGGATTTTACTTCTGCTACAGCATGGAGCTCTCAGTGGCTGGTGAACTTTAACTCAAATAAAACTCAATTTTTTTTGGCTAATCGTTATTGTAACGATCTAAATTTTCCTATATTTATAAATTGTAATATACTCAATGAACCATCTACCTTTCGACTTCTGGAATTACCTGTTGCAAGAAACCATTGTAAAAATTGCCGACCTTGTTTCTATGTTTTAAGTTAACCCCTTTGTGTCAATTTTTTTGACGACCTGAGGCCAACCTCCGACAGTTTGAGGTTGGCAATTTATTGCAGATTTTGTTTTTTCTAATTCTGAGGGTTGAGGTTTTATATGCTTGTTTTTTCTAATTCTGAGGGTTGAGGCATGGAAAAATAATGATGTTTATATGTAAAATGTATTTCAAGGATTCAGGCTGGCATGGAATCTTTTATTTTCTCTCGACAATTCCAAGTCAAGCCTATATTTTCTCCATGGTTTTCCTGTTGTTGTGCTGCTGTAATTCTCAATTGTAACCATTACTTCCACATATGTCACTAAAACAATACTCCAGAAAATAGACGTCTTTTTACTATTACTAGAAACCATTGTAAAAAGGTTTGTTTAATGCCAAAGCCTGTTATTCTCAGGTCAAGTAATCCTGTATTTCATCTTAAAAATTAATTCTGGAGAATCTTTAAAAGAGTCTATAATAAGGGCAAATCTGTTATTCCACCTCTTTTGCATGGTTCAGATTTTGTTCAGAAGTGTTCTCAGGAGCTTTTGTCTAGTTGCAAAACTTTTTAACAAGTGCTTATCGTAGTCTTGTTTTCCAGCGTGCTGGAAAGCGGCATATGTTATCCTTATTTTCAAAAATTCTAGAGAGCAATCTGACTCATTTAACTACAGTCCCATTAGTTTCTTCCTATCATAAGCAAGGTTTTTAATTCTTTAGTTAAAAAACACTTAATCTGTTATCTTGAGTCTAATAACTTACTTTCTGATCATCAATATAGGTTTTGATCTTCTTGTTCTACTGCTGATTTGTTAACAGTAATAACCAATAGGTTTTATCATGCAATAGATAGATTTGGAGAGGCTTTTGCTCTCATTATTTCTAAACCCTTTCATAAACTTTAGCATGATAGTCTTCTCCATAAAATTTTTTCTTACAGTGTATCAGGTAATATCTTTAAAATTATTGAATCCTTTATTACCGATTGTAGTATAAAATTTGTCCTTAATGATCAGCACTCTTCTTCATTTCCTGTAACTTTAGAGGTTCTTCAAGGTTCTATCCTTGATCCTATATTTTTAAAAAGTTTACATTGACGATCTCTCAGAAATTCTCACCTCTAAATCTGTTTGCTGATGATAGTACCATTTATTCTTGTTTTGATAAGAAGCCAACACTCTCTGATTGCTTGGGGAGGTATTTGAGCCTGAAAAAAATTTCAATTCTGCTACAGCATGGGGCTCTCAGTGGCTGGTGAACTATGCCTCAGATATAGTTCACTCGGGGTCAACATTGCCGAATGCTGACTTTGAATCCAAGGGCTGAAGCCTATTTATCGGTATCAAGACAAAAGAATTCTATCCAAAAGCTCTCATTAAAAAAATCACGGAAAGAGTCCTAGTCAGCTTCAAGGTAGTTGTAAGAGGTATGATGATAGGGGGATTCTGATAATCAAGAAGATTGAGACAATAGTTTTAAAGAGATAAAACCACGATCAAAAACACCTAATGGTGAATGTGAAGAAACTGAACACTGACAAGGATTAGAAACAAAACAAGTTAAGTAGAGAAGGTCAATGATCCAGATTCTCTGGAAAGCCAGTTGGAAAATTGATTATTTGTGTTAGAGAATGAGAAAAGGCAAAATTTGTGGGCTTCTCTTAACACCTGCAAATAGTACTTAGTGTACTACTTAATATTTCAAGAAATTGCCTCATTACTGTTAATAAACCTTAAGTTGTAACAAAGGGCTCCAAATGTGGCATCGACAATGCATATTTAAATTTAGATCAGGGACACCATCCATGTGCAACACGGCACTGTTAGTACTCTGATACTTTATAGCTGTTGACGGAATCAGCCTCTATGAGAGCTACCTCAGATTTTGGGAAACCTGACATTCAGCTGGCTTCAGAACCATAAAACTGAGTTTTAGAGCTGTACCTTCATTTAGAGATAATAGAATGAGTGACCTAGTCACGAAAACAGAGACAAAAGCAAAACACTTGCATTGAGTTAAGATGATCCAGTATTTGACATTCAAGAATTGGAAACAATATATTATAAATACATTTATGTCAGCCTAATAGATGAAGAAGTGGTGCAAAGTTGGTCAACAGATAGAATCTGTTTATCCCTTAAGTCTTTACCTAGAAGGCCTTCTACTAGACAGTTTCCATGTGCATTTAATGTCTGATGAGTATTTTTATCAAGACACCATATCTGGTTTTTACACAACCAAGAGACAGCACTCTTCTTCTTATTCTGTAACCTCAGGTGTTCCTCAAGGTTCAATCCTTGCCCCTACACTCTTTTTAATTTTCATTAACGATCTTCCAGATATTCTCACATCTAAGGTGGCATTGTTCGCTTATGATATTACCATTTATTCTTGTCATGATAAGAAGCCAACTCCCTCTGATTGCTTGCAGGGGGCATTTGAGCTTGAAAAGGATTTCAGTGGCTGGTGAACTTTAATTCAGATAAAACTCAATTTTTTTCAGCCAATCATTATCGCAATAATTTAGACGTCCGTCCTTGTATGAAATACTGTTGCCATATCTGGGGCGGATCTTCTAATGTTGTCCTTTTTCTTTTAGACAAGGTGCAAAAACGAATTGTAAACATAGTTGTATCTGCTCTTGCAGCCCAACCTTCAACCTTTGTCACATTGCCGTAACGTTGCTTCTTTTTCTCTTTTCTACAAATACTATAATGGACACTGCTCTAAAGAGCTAGCGTCTCTTGTGCCATCTACTAAAATTCATTTTCGTGTTACTCGTCATTCAATTAAGTCTCATCCTTTTTCTGTTACTGTTCCTAAGTGCTCCAAAAACTCTTATTCGTCTAGTTTTTTTCCTCGAACATCAGTTCTTTGGAATTCGCTTCCTTCATCTTACTTTCCTAATTCATTTAGTATGCAATCTTTTAAGTCGTCTGTCAATTGTTATCTTGCTCTACAATCTTCATCTTTTCTCTTCCAGTAACTTCCAACACTAATTAGTGGTTGTTTTCTTGTTGGAAGCGAAGATGCAAATATATATATATATATATATATATATATATATATATATATATATATATATATATATATATATATATATATATATATATATATATATATAACTTTAAACTTTTAAAAAATATTTTATGATTAAAGTGATTTTACATGACTTGTAATAAAAATAATTATTCATTATTAAATTATAAAGATTAAAAAAATATCACAAAAATAATTTTAGGGTGGATTGGTAAGTGTTTGCAATGATGCCAGTTTGCATATTTGGAGTATAAGACAAAATAAACCTGCACTAATACAGTCTTTAAATTTTAAAAAAGAGAGGTATCTATCTTGTTTTCTTTAATTTATTTTAATAAAGAAATTTTTTTTAAATTGGTTAAAATTTCTTTGAAAAATAATTTTAGAATAACTGCAATACACAATCCATTTGGGTGGAAGTGGTTGTATGTGGGTACTGAACGTGGAAATGTTTACATTGTAAATGTTGAAACCTTCCGTGTGTCTGGTTATGTTATACAATGGAATCATGTTATTGATGTGTTCGTTTTTATTTTATTAGATTTTTCTTAATTTATAATTTTTTAAATTAAAAATAATATGTTTTAAAAAGAGCTTTAAAAAGGATAGGGGTTGTATAAAATTGTTGTTAGCCTATGACTTAGACCTTATGACCTTCTAAACTTCTGAAAAATTTAACCAGGGATTACTGTAAAGCTTGAAGCGTAGTTTTTTTTTTTTTTTTGAGAGAGAGCTCAAGGTGACAAGAGTTTAAAGCTTAAAGTTTAAAAACTTAAAAGTTTAAGATTATTATTTCTATTTTAATAAAAAAATTATTATATTAATTTTTACAAATAAATTATTATGTACAAATGATTTGTTTTAAAAAGTTAAAAAAAGTTTGCTGATATATTAAATTTTTTTTTTCTTTAACTATTTATTAAAGTGAACAATGTTAAAACTTGTAAAATATATTTTTAGCACCTATAAACACAACCCAGGTCCAGTTGTTAATATTACCAGCAACCCTCAAGATGAAAACAAAGTATGTTTTATTGTAATAAGTATCAAGACACAAGTTGTTTAAGATATATAAATATTAATTTATTCTTTAAGTTGCTTTTGACATTTGAAAGTGGAATTTGTGTTCTTTGGGATGTGCGTTCTAAAAAATATACTCAAACTTATCAGATGGATCAGGTAAGATTTTTCTTTTCCTATTTGGTTATTTAAATGCTCAAAATAGTAAAGATCTTGTCACAGAGCATTTAACCAGAAAGTTTCACCCCCAAACCTCCTTCACCTCTTTCTTTACTAGTAACCTCTTTCACTACCTCCTTCACCTCTTTTTTTGCTAGTAACCTCCTTCACTACCTCCTTCACCTCTTTCTTTACTAGTAACTACCTTCTTCACCTCTTTCTTTGCTAGTAATTGCTAGTACGACTAGAGCTTGCATCAAAACTTTGGATTCTGAAGCAAGCTCTCTAATCACCACGGCTCTCTAATCACTGCGTCTTATTTTGATATTATTAAAGTACAACATAAGTTTAATTGGTAGTTTGAAAATATTAAAGTTGTTTGAAAAACAAAATATTTTTTATGTTAGATTTTTCTTAGAACTTTTAAGCAGTTCATTAAAATATAGTGCTGGAGGTTTATATAAAAATATAATGCATACAAAAAAATACAAATGTTTTTTCATAGTTTTTTTTACCTTCTTATCAATATGGCATGCAGTGGGGGCAAGATAAATTGGTGAGAAAAAATTATTGAAGTGTTTATTTTTACATAATTTTTGATAAAAAAACAAGATGTTTGTCCTGTGCTACAGGAGAACTTGTTTTCACAAAAAAAAAAAAAAAAAATTTAGAAAAAAATACTAGTTAATAATCTGGATTAACAAATGGTTAACTTACAAAAAAAGATGGTTAATCTTACAAAAGAAAAAGAAAAATACTTGTTTTGAACTATAAAGATTTTATTTATTGTGATTATTTTAAACAAAATCTTTAAAAAATAATCAAAAGTAGTTAAACACTGTGTTGTATTATATAGTTTTATTAAACTGTAATTAAAAAAAAAAAAACATTCAATTTAAATTAGGCATGCTGGCAAATCAAAAAGTTTCATAGTGTGACTTTTGAAAGTTTTGAAAATCAGTCACATTGAAGCGTGTTTTCCTTTTACTTCAATTTAAACATAAGTTTACTTCATGGAAACATAATGTAAACATTTTTGCATGGAAGTATGGTGCACCTTGTGCCATACTTCCATGCAAGTTAATATTTTACTTCCATGCAAGTTAATATTTTACTTCCATGCAAGTTAATATTTTACTTCCATTTAAGTTAATATTTTACTTCTATGCAAGTTGATATTTTACTTCCATGCAAGTTAATGTTTTACTTCCATTTAAGTTAATATTTTACTTCCATCAAGTTAATATTTTTCTTCCATGCAAGTACCTTGCAATTGTACCTTGCAACATTCTTGTACCATACTTCTATACAAGTTAATATTTTATGAATAATAGGTAGGTTTAAATTCATTCTGTTTTGAAAATTCTCAACAATAGTTTATCTATATTTAGTGTTTCTTATTTTATGACAAATGATGATTTATAAATCTTATGAGTACATTTTTTGAAAAGCATCTTCTGAGTACAATATTTGAAGAGCATTTTTTGCAGAACATCTTCTGAGTACAATATTTGAAGAGCATTTTTTGCAGAACATCTTCTGAGTACATTTTTTGCAGAGCGTCTTCTAAGTACATTTTTTGAAGAGCGTCCTTTTAAGTACATTTTTTGCAGAGCGTCTTCTAAGTACATTTTTTACAGAGCATCTTCTAAGTACATTTTTTGCAGAGCATCTTCTAAGTACATTTTTTGCAGAGCATCTTCTAAGTACATTTTTAAAAGAGCATTTTTTTAAGTTCATAAAAGTACAGTGAGTAGAGAAGAACAATCAACAAGATATCATGCTTTCTAACTAAAAATTTGTATTGACATTCGGCTTCTTGTCAAAACTTTTTTACATCAGGGGTAAGCAACAAACTTACACATAAGTTCCACACATAAGTTTGTAAAAAAAATTTCTACAGAATGCTAATGACTATAGTTAAGGAAACTTTTGTTTTGATTTTGTTAACTTTTTATAATAATAATAATAATATTAATAATAATAGTAATAATAATAATAATAATAATAATAATAATAATAATAATAATAATAAAAAGTTTCGATATTTTATTTATTTTTTTATTTTTAAACATCAAGAAATGTTATTTTAAGAAATTCTAAAACTTTTTAACACATTTTAGTTGAATATTTAAAAATAAAAAAAATACACTTAAATGTTACATTTTTAATGTAAAAGACAAAAATATTTGGACACAAAACTTATTGTTTTGGTGTGGTTCATAAACACTATATTTTAATTATTCATTAATAATAATTTCTTTTTTGCAATAACTTTATAAATTTTATTATTTGGTTTGATATAAGTTATTTGGTTTGATATAAGTTATTTGATTTGATGTAAGTTATTTGGTTTGGTATAAGTTATTTGGTTTGATATAAATTTGGTTTGATATAAATTTGGTTTGAAGTTATTTAGAAAGTTATTTAAGCATTATCTTATGAAAACTTTTTTTTAATCAAATTTTTTTCAATTAAATGTTTTTAAATTTGAATTTGAATTTTTTTTTTTCATTCTTTATTTTTCCTGTCACACTTTTTTTATTTGTATATATTAAATTTTTTTTTTGTATGTTTTGTGATCTAGAATTTATCAAATTTGAAAAAAATGTGCAATAGATATTGCATGCAATAATATATTTTGTGTTGAATACTAAAGTATTTTAAAAACATGTAAATATTTCTGTTAAAGACTTTAAATATAAGATGTTTGCGATTTGTATGCTGCTATGATATTTATGTTCTGCATAAATTTCTCATTAGGGGAGACCAGGGGTAGTTAACTCGGTTTTTACTCTATGATCTCTGTAGCCTTAACGGCACATTTTTTTGAAAATAATAGTGTAGTCTCAAAGAGTATGAATTTGAGTAACTTATAAAAGTTCCATTCATTTACAAAAAAAAAGTGAAAAAAAGTGAAAACAAAACAGTGTTCTCAATTTATGGTTATACAACAAGAATTAAAGTGTTTTATTATATGAATATTTTCAACTAATTGAGTTTTCAAATCGGCTCTTTATTTCATTTTTTTTGCTTTCTCTTTTTAGCTGATTCTTTTTCTATTTTTAAAACATTCATATTTGGTGAAATTGTAAGAATTTATGTGGTTCTATTTCTTTTATTAACCCTAACTCTTTTTTCTTGGTTCTGCTTTTTTGAATGGTCTTAAATCTTCAGGCGATAGAACTACAGTTAACTCTGTAGATGCACTGTGTATATCATAATTGCTTAAATATGAAATATCATGATGAGGTTCTGTATCTTTTGACCAATCAGCTTCTAACATGTCTCTGATATTGTAAAGTAAACATCAGTTACATTACTTATATTTAGTACTTTCCACAGCACAGTCTTGTTTCAGAGTTGGTCTATCTATGGTATAGGCTAACATAAAATTGTGTTCACTAAAAATGTTAACATTTAGTGGTTTTTGCAAAACCAGCCTTGATATTATTAGAGGTACATACTAATGGAAATGAGTTACCAATAATACTTGGTATACTGTAAATTGACATTGTGGAACCAGGGTGCATTGTCATCCATGCATCACAAGCTTTGTTTGTGTATTTTTTAAAAGGTCCAAATACACATCGATCTAGAGGTTGAAGTTTGTGGCTGCAATGAGGAAGAAATGAACAAATTGATACCCCATTTTGTTTAAAGTAATCTAAAGCCTCTACTGAAAGATGAGAGTTATGATTGTCTAATAGTACCAAAACGTGTCATTCTTTTGTACTTCTGGCATATTTGACAAAATGATGGGAAAACTAAAAAAATTTAACTTTGGTCATCTAACCAGATGGGTTTGCAGCACCTGCACGTTCATTAGGGGTACCATTTAAAAAATAGCTTATAAACTTCACACAAGGAAATATGAAAAATGGAGGAATTGAATTTCCACTAGCAGAAACAGCAACTTCCACTTTTACTAAATTGCCTCCCTCTTCCGAAGTAACACGCCCAATTTGTTCAAAACCTTCTCTTGCTACAATATGATCTGGAGTTTGAACTGTGGTAATACCAGTTTCATCAATACTCCAAATATCTCGACCTTCCAAATTTGAACAATTAAGAACATTTTGTAAATTGTTGTAAAACTTTTTGAACATTTATTGGATTAAAACTGGAAACACGTGTTTGACTTGTCGCCTCAGGTTTTCTTATTGACAGTTTTTTGTGCTTTTTGAGGTAAGCACTGAACCAGTCCTCTCCATCTGCTTCATTTGCACTCCAATTATAGGGCATTTTTATGCTAATCGCTTTTCTATAATGATAAGCTAGTTTCCTCACTTCCTTAGTCTATATAGAAAGTCTATAATAAATATCAGTAGCTTTAGTCATATTGTTCCAACAAATCTTTTTTATAAAATTTGGAGCTGTTATTTTGAGGAGTCTGTTTTTCTTTTATAGTTTTACATGTGATCTATGTGATCTATCTAATCAATTTTAATATACTATTTCAAAAAGTTATTAAATTAAAAATTGAAAACTCTTGAAATTTACGTCCAATCGCAATCGGGTTTAGTTGAAATAAACAGCCAACAAAATATTAGCCCCGCTAATATTTTGCCAACTAACTCTGACAGCCATTTAGTCACAAACTCCCCTACCAATCCCTGAAAAAGGTAAATAATAAAAAATGGATGGTTGAACAGATTTCACCATGCAAGATATAACTCAAATCAAGTTTACGTGCACTTGATGCAATTGATTTTAACAAAAAAATATAGAAATTGTAAAAGTTACAACAATGTGGAAAAAACATATAAATCACAATATCTTTTATGCGCATGCGCAAATCACTACAATACTACAGTGAAAGATGAAATGGTCAACTAGGAAGGTTTTCTAAGATAATTGGCACTTTCTGATGAAAGTTTTTGCAGATAAAGGCAATTTGTTAATTTATGCCTGATGCCAATTAGTCTCGGTCTCCTCTAGTGTAACATTTATATATGTTTAAAAAAATATTAAAACATTTTGTCCTATTGTATGGTTTTTTGAAAATTAATTTATAGGCTACACAAACCATAACTTGTGTTTGCTGGAATGGAGATGGTAAGCAATTCATGGCAGGTCATTGGAATGGCGCCACATCAGTTTGGAATTATAAAAACTCTAAAAAACCAGAAGAACTTCAAATGCCTCATGGTAGAACTAAATTTTTGTATTTGTTATATGTGTAAATATTTAGATTATTATAAATTGTACGTAACAAATTATAATTTTTATAAGTTATAATTATCATTAATTAAAATAATTATATAACTAATTATATTCTTGATTTTTTTTAAAGAAAATTTTTTTAATTCTCCAAGTTTTTATTTCTCCAGGTTCTGGAAAATCTTCCAGTGAAAATGAGAAAAATGTTTGTTGTCCAATTCTTAAAATAGAATGGTACACAGGAAAAGAAGGGTAAAAGATTTTTATGCGTGAAAAGAAAGGTTTTTACTATGCCATGGATTCTAAATTGTTGCCATGGGTTCTAAATTGTTACCAACAAATTTTTAGTAAATTTTTATGTTTATTTTTCTAGGGATATTCCATTGGTAATTTTTTCCGGAGGTATGTCTGCTGGTAACAAAAATAAAGGATTAACGTTGATTCGCGGGCGATCAAAGAATCTTGTTTTGTCTGATTTTATTGTTGATTTTCAATGTCTTTTATCAACGCCCAGAATGGCAGGTTGTTGTTTGTATTTTAATTACATTTAATTTGATTTTTTCTTTTTTTTTTTTTAGTTGCTTTTTTTGCTTTTTTATGTTTTTTATTTATACCTTGATAAACCTGCCTTAAATAGTCAAAAGAAATTCTAAGTTTCTTGCTTCATATTTTGTTGTAATGTGTTTAATTAATTATTTGTGCAGCAACCTTGTTACCAACTGTAAAGCCACCATGGCCTTGTTACCAAGACTTGTCCTTTCAGGGTTATAAGAGAGTTTAAAAAAAAAAGCTTAGCATCTACTGTATTGGCCCTCTTAGACTTACAGAAATAAAAAAAACTACTTTGCTTGGTTGTGAAATCTTAACTACTGGAAAATTCACCAGACCTTCATGCTCTTTGATTTGATTTTTAGATCTCAATATTAATGGCTCTTACATTAACTCTTATGATAATAATCACATATTTTAGAATAGTCACTTACAGTTTTATCTTTATTTCTTATTATAATAAATATCAGTGACTCTGGTGGTACTACTTGAGTGATTCAATTTGATAAAATAAAGCCAGGATTTTTTAGACTTACAATTCATTGAAGTTCTTAAGTTTACACTTGGCTCCTACCTCTGCTCTATGAATTAGGTCTAAGGATTAGAACTTGTTTGGTGATCAACACATAACATAAGCAGATTAAGATATCAGCAATATTGATCATTAATATTGCTTTCTTGTGTGTCACATTTTTTTCATTTTTTGCGCATTTTTCTTTAAATTTTATTTGTTTTCTGCACTCACTTTTTTATATCTTTTAGTTTTGTTTTAGAAGTAAATTTTTTGCCTAAAAGTTATATGTATATATTTGATAAAATTATAAGTAATGTTATTTTTGTAAAACTTTCATGTTTTCTTATGTGTTTTTTTTTTTTAATTCATTTTTGTAACTAAAGAACCATAATTTTTGGTTAATTTTTTTTGTTGTAATTATAGATTGTTTTATTTACATAAACGCTAAGACATTTAAGACATTTTTTTATTTAAGCAGTTGTATATTAGCCATGGTTTTTTTTTATTTCATTAAAACAACAATTAAAACTATATAACTTTTATTCACAACTAAGTTTTTTTGTACAATATTAAATTGTACATAAATAGATATGTTTTTAACTTTTATCTTAAGTGTTGTTTATTTTATTTTGAAATTAGAGCTTCCTGAGCCACTTGCTTTGTTCGTTCTTCTAAGGAATGAGATAGTGGTATTTGATTTGTTAGGTCCTGCTGCTCCAAGGTAAGAAACACTTTAAAGTTAATATAAAGTTATTTTTCTTAAATAGCAAAATATTAAATTTGTTTTATGTTTTGGTAGTACAAATTTATAAAAAAAAGAATGTTTTATGAAAAGTAAGCTAAAACTTTCATTACCAACATTATTTACAATCTTAAGCAATTATTATTAACATAAATTTATAATCGTCACTAACATTTTTAAATGTAGAACAATGTCTTTCTCCACTTTCCAACTTTACAAAAGGGAAAATTAATTTGATAAATTTATTTGTCAAAAAACAGGCTGTTTTAATTATGAAAACTAACAAA